ATAATAGAAATTTATTTATTAATTAGATTAATTAGAATTTTAAATATTAAATCGTATAGTTAGAGGGTCTCAGGTTATCCTAAGCTATCTCTATAGTTATGCTACTGTTATGCATTTGGTAGTGACAGAGCTACCGTAGTTACGTGTGACATAAGAACGTCAAGAAGGCTGATGGAGCAGTTATGTTGAGTAAATAAAAGTTCACATTCTCCTAGACCGCCTCATTATTTATTCACCAGGAAGATGGTAGAAGATATAACAAAAAGTGGTGATGAGAACATCTGAGCCTTCAACATGTTCTGTGCTCTGCTTATTGTCATCCACAGGTAGTTGTTATTGATAGGTGGGCGTGGTCCTGCAGTCAGCTGAAGGACGCCAGAGTGTTAAAACAATGTGGTACGCCTAGGCCTCTCTCCTGTCAACAGTCCTCTGAAACCTGATGTTTTCGATTCCTTATTCTAACCTGTCTCCTGTCTTCCTTAGCATGTTGAGCTCTGGATTGCTCACCCGCCTGACTCCGTGCTCTGAAGACTGGTCTCTGAATCCCTTCTGCTCTTCTTCTCTACTAAGAAGAAGGAGTAACAAAGAGCGGTTGGCTGAAGATTGAGCTCCTGAATCGGATCAACAGTGAAATAGGTACCGCTAACTCAGCAGAGCTTGAATAGTCAGCTTTAAACTAACTTTAAACGACTTTATCTAAAATAAAACAGCCATAAGTAAGTAGTAAATAAGTAATGTTTATTCATATAGTACTTTTCACAGATATAGTGGTCATAAAGTGCTTCACAAAATTACAATACAAATAGTAATGAATTTACAGTCACAAAAGACACCATCATAAAACTGTCCTTAATCTAATAGGAACCTTTTCCAGGGAGCTTTTTCAATAAAAAAAATTCAGAAATATCACTGAGTTTACTTTAGCCCAAAAAGGCCTTGTTTTTGTTTAGAAAACATGCTAATTAAAACGGCCGAACGGGTCCACCTCTTTGGAATGGGGGTCGTTTGGCTTCTTTAGTTAGCCTGCAATACCCCAAGCTGAAATCTGAGTCCGGCCCCTCTGTTAAAGGTTGTTTTTTCTTTCTTAACATAGATGGCTTCCTTCATGCCCCTCTCCAATCACTTATTTTCTTTTCCAAAATGTGAACGTTCTTGCCCTAAAACGAATGTCCTTTGTTGATAAGGCCTATTTAGGCTCTGCATATAGCCTGGATTTCAACGCTATTCCTAACACTTTGAGAAAGCTTCCTGGATGGGAAGCGAAATGTCTTCAAACTTTGAAACAAAATTTTGGAATGACTATGACCTGGATGACCGAGAATCTTCATCAGCAAACAAACATTTATATGTCCCGTCCTCCAAGCTGACCACAATTAAATGCTGCTTGAGAGGGCGACAGGTCCTCACTTGCTGTGGAGGGCCTTATAAACCACTTAAACCGATTTCAGATGGGAATTGATATGGCCAACCCTCTATGGGCATGTGCAAATGTAGTGAATAGCAGGTGGGGGGGAGGTTGGGAAAAGCCCTTCGTCAAAAACTGCTTAAAGTGCAGTGTTACAGTTTGAAGCATGATTATACAACATTCAGCTGAGGCTGTTTGTCAAATTATAATTTCATAAGTCATTTTTTTTAACAACTTCTTTATATTATTATCATTATCAATAGTATTATTATGGAACAAACAATTTCAACCATGAATTAATACCAACATTAGGATACCCACTCTAAGGTAGTTCTCACAGCAATCCAGCAGATGTCACCATTCAAAAACTATATAAAATGTATTGAGCATTGTGTTGAGTTTTGGCCAGTTGTGTCAGATTGGTTCATTGGTTCACGAGGCTACAATTTGCCATCACTTATATTAACTTGTTTGATGTCTGATTAAATAGGCAGGTGGTAAGCATGTGCACTAATAAGAGGCTCTGAGCTGCACAGTGGGGAGAATGAGTGATAATGATGCCAGGAGCAGAGCTGAATGTAAACAAATCAGCTGCTTTTTAGAATTATGGTAGTTGCGCTTGTTTATTTCCCATTTGGTACATTGTGATTAGCGGAGACTTACCCTGAGGAGTTTTGTTTTTGACAGCCATCTTAGATTTAATCTTTGTCTTTAGGACGAAAACTATTATTAGTCTTAGTTGCATTTTAGTCATTACAATATGTGATAGTTTTAGTCGGTTTCAGTTTGCTAATATTTAAAATGCGTTTGGTCTAGTTTTAGTCAGTTTTATGTTGCAAAAAAGTTAACCTTTACAATTTTGAATAACAACCAGATTCTTTACCAGACTGACAGTTCTTGCCTAGATACTACAATAGCTGGGTATAGAATGCTGCCATGCAGTTCATCATTGCTGTTGGGCAAGAAACTTTATAGAATTCGAATAAACTTTTTAACTGAATTAATGCCCTACTTTACACTAAAGTGTCTCACAAAAGTTAATTAAAACTCACACCCATAACTCTCAAGATTTCGTCAACAAAGATCCATGTTTAGCTCTTCAGTTCTTGTTTTTGTCATAAACGGCCCTATGCCTTGCCACCCATGTGAAAAATGTAATGCTTTACCAGTTAAGATGGACACCAGCCTCCCTGATATCAAGCAGTTTCATAGTAAACAAATAATAAAAACGGCTGGATAGAGGAAAATTGGCAAATTCTCTAGTAGAAATTTTGGTTATGGCTGACTCTTTTCATTTATCTTCTGATGACACATAGGTGTTTTGGACATAAGTAGAACACCATTGCAGCATTGTTGCAGCTGTGGACACCCCATGTAGTCTCATCAGTCCAACTCAACATTTCTCAACCTCTTAAACTCTCGCTCTTGTTTTTAGTAAGTATGAACACTGGGTGGGAGTAGAGGGGCATCTTGCTGCTGACTCAGAAAGTAAGGACAGCAGCAGCTCATCGTCAAAGAAGTTCAGTTCTTCAACTGAAATCTTTCTCTGGGGATTAATGATGAAGGAAGAATGGAATTTCTTCTCAAGGCTGTTGCTTTGTTTTCTGTGCTCTAAGATGAGCACTCACACAAACACAGAGAGAAAAGCTGCAGCCCTCCTCCACTGGGTGGGGGGTGGGGTGCCGGATGGGCTCTATGGTTAAGGTGAGGGAGGTGTGCTAGAGGTGCTCGAGGTTCGGAGGGGGGGGTTTCCTCAGGAAAACATATCACCTTCTACCACAATAGAGAGCATCAGGAAGCCAGAGGCAGCCTCAGTGCTCTCCTGAGTCACTTTCAGACATGCTCTTAAAGACATCAGTGTCCCTCACACACACACACGCGCGCACACACACCCCTCAACCTGCACCACCAGCAATCTGCAGGATGACACCGAGCTGAACCACAGCACAGCAGAGTGTTCAGGTAAGTCTTCTGACTCGCTGAGGAATTTCTTCCTCTCATGTGGTTTATTAGATGTTTTAAACCTTTACAGTTGGATATTTAATTCAGAGTTAAATATCTGAGAAGTAGAGTTCTCAGAATTCATAAAAAGTCTTATGCTTCATTTCAAAGAAAAGGAAAATGTAAACAGGGAGACATCTGTCTGTCCTCTTGCTATTTCTTGTTGAGGTCAAGCTTTAAATATTTGAAACCTCAGATCCCAGTGAATCCTTTCCAGTCTTTCAATCCTTTGAATTGCTTTTGAAGGCTGCTGTTTGTATTTGTCATGGACAGTTTCTCTCCTTCTTCATCTTTTTATAACGGAAAAGGTTCTGCTCCCTTCATGGAATCTTGAATTTCTACAGTTGTTTACTCAATAAAGATCTGAGTTAGGTTTGTTGTATTTGCTCCTCTTAACATTATTTTACTACCATGAAAGGGCTGCAGAGCGAATGTCTGGAACTGGAAACGTTCTGACTTTGGCTCAATGCTGCAAACAGAAGGAGAAAAAAAAAAAATCAAACCAGTCATGGTCAATAGCAAATTCTGGTTTTAATGCCTTTAATAACTTTATTTTGCATGTGTAAACCCTAAACTTTATTTTATAAATTGATTTAAAAAAAACAACTAAGCAGATTCACCTGATTTACTTATTTTAGACCAAGTAAACCAAGTCAAATCTAATTGAGTAAAGAATAACTTCTGTCTGTCTGTCTGTCTGTCTGTCTGTCTGTCTGTCTGTCTGTCTGTCTGTCTGTCTGTCTGTCTGTCTGTCTGT